TGAGGAAGCTTAGTTATGGTCGGTGACCTTCGTTCTGAATCGTAATCCGCTTAGTCCATGAGTAAGCACAACCTTAACTCAAGGCGAATAAACTTTTCCGTTTAAAATGTCAAATGTATTTCTGGGGTTTATTAGCGGCAAAGCCGCCTATATCTAAATCTGTAGGTTTTCCTAATCAAATAGAAAAATCTAATTTAAATGCATATATGCTGGCAGACCAGCCACGTATTGAATTCTTGTTACAGTGTAGGCACACCTTTGTGTGGGTTACACCATCTTGTGTGACTCACCCCTATCTACCAGGGTACGTGTTACCTCGTTGAGATATTGTACAATAGAGCAAAATTTTAGGGTGATTATACTATAGATCGTGAGACTCAGGTTCCTGGCTGCTCGTCTCACGTTAAATTATTAAAAAAGTCTTTTGGTTAGATATAGTATAGTGTGCAAACTTAGCATTTTCTCGAATCGAATGAATTTTACATATATTCATTCTGTAAGCGTGATGATTGGTTATTTAGAGGCTCTTCAATTTTATGAGTCCAATCCCTACCTTGGCGATTGTTAGCACGGAATATTTAAATCGAGGTTTCCTCTACGCAAGGTGCGCGACATCCCTGTTGCAAAATTTACAAACGTACTGAGTATATCTTATATCTGTTCGAAATAGCGTAAAAAGCACAAACGTTCATTGATTAAAAATTGTTGCCCAAATTCAGGTTACACACACCAAACTGAAATGTACGGACTAAATGGTGTATCCTACACTTTCATGCCATAAGAAGAATACACAGCGTATTTGCTTTGATCATACAAGGCTGTAGATAAACTTCGTACTATGTATACTATTACCATCTGTGACCTAGTCCTACTGCAGCTTTATGTGACGGGAATGTGGTAATCAAACGAACGCCAAGTTGTAAACGGTCATAATCTGTATTGCCGTTACATTGTGAAAACTATCCTCAAAATTTGATTCTTTGGTTGATGTCGCAAAGCTGGCTGATCATGCGGAACAAAGACAAAGATACCCGCACTGACTTTTTCTGTCTCAATAGAGGCTGTATCATTTTATATTTATCTTGACCGCAATTTTATGTACGAAGCTATTAGGTAGCTAAACTGTACCTACAGAATTCGTTGCATTACCAAATTCATATTCTCCAATCAGCTGTCAGTAATTCTATTCGGCGCTTTGAACGTGTCATGTCAACCACTAGCGAAGGCGCCGGCAGCAGTGACTCCATTGAGGTACACTTGGGTGCCAACGACTCGAATGCTGAGATTGCGTGGCTGCGGCGCTGCTTGCCTATTTTTGTGCAGCCGGACGTGGACATTAAAAATCGCAATGATCTGGTCAAGATTTTTTTCCGCTTCGAGCGCGACGACCGGTCTGGGCACTTGAATTGCAAGCTCTGTATTGTATTTGCCGGCGAGTCGAGCTACAACCGCAAACATGAGAAACGTGAGAACTCTCTGGCCACGTTTTGTTATCGTACTTATAATCGACGGACGTATAATCGGACAGCCGACATTAATTATATGGAGTTCCGGTACGTTGACGACTTTCAAATTGCTTTCTTTTCAGATGCTTAAACGTTCTTTTTTTCGACGATGATCAGAAATGTCGACTTAAATCCTGCAGCCGATGTGCCATGGGTGTCTATATACTCGCAGGACCACGGAGGTAATCAGCAGTGGGCGCAGGGCGAGAAAAAGAACATCGGCAACTGGTTCTCGCTCATGCATCACTACCAAGTGGAGCTTGAACGCTCAGCTTGGAAACTGCACCCACAAACGCACCGCCCGTACGTATATCTTAATACATGCAATCACATGATTGGCGAGAAGGACAATAACCCGACGCTTAGCAAGTTTGATTGGATCGACTACCCTTTTCAACAGGGAGATGACGGTGATGCCTTTCACTACGTCGTGGATCACGTGCCAACTAAATGCAATCTCTATTCGTATTGTTTATTCTGGCGCGCACGAAATGGTGGTGGATGGTGTGATCGTCACCCTGGAGTCAAGATGATTCCACGAGATGGCAAGTCTATCTACGTTAAACATTCATCTACAGGTCTGTAGCCAAGACACCTGTACCTAAACATTCTGTAAAACGTTTTATCCATTTTCTTGTCTGAACGCTTATATATATTTATGTATATTAAAACGTTATCCAGCGGCAGGCGTAGTAAAGGTTGGGTCTTGTGGCTGCGTTGCTATGGCCTTCAAATTTACAGATGATTTGCAAGACATTTGCTGAGACTCAAGCTCGAATTTTAGCTCCGGAGAATCAACTTGATTTATGTGATAGCTTGTTGGTCCAGTAAATTTGGCTGCGTCAAGTTCTCGCACTTTCATCCAGGTTGTCCACATTTCTTCCACGGAGATCGGAGCCTGTTCCAGCAACCAACCCATCTGACGTCGTGTAGCATCAAGCACGGGCTGGAATCCCATTTGAGTTGCCCCAGAGCTCACCCAATGGAAGTCCAGCAGCATGAATGCCATGGCATGCAGCTTGAATAAAGCATCAGGGTCATCGAACACTCGCCAGAATGGCGTACGACTGACACGTTCTGCTACACGCAACTTTATGGATATCGCCGGCGAAGTGTTTTCGTTCGTCTCGACTGAGTGTAAAACAAGTTTTGTGCACACATCAGGAGCCTCGTCAATCATCAGCAAGCGCATCATCATTCGCACTACATTTATACTTGCAACTGGAAACGGGTAGCGGTTGCCGCCTGCCACTGCATTGCGCTTCATCATTGCCCGCGCCTTCTCTGGATATTCTTCCACGAAAAATACAAGACATTCGAGGGCTAACACGCCTCCACCACGAAATCCTCCAAGCGGATTTTCCGTGTGAAACCCACTACACTTCCATCGTCGTGAAGCTAGCATCGCAGAGACGTTCACACCAGCGACATGACTTTCGGTATATGTCGAAGTCGCTAGCATCGAGGCGCATTCTTCTGCCACATCATCTTCTGGCACTAACAATGCGTCCCAAAGTCGTTTCAGCAAAGTGACGTGACATTCATTTGTCATATCCAGTGACTCCTCCAAACCAAACCGAAGCGTTTCCAGACGACGCACCTTGTCGTGCAACTTTAGACGACGCGAGCACATGTCAGACCGGAAGTCACGAAGCACAAATTCTTGTTGCTTGAACAGCATCGCAACCACTTGAACAGCTTCGCCTGCATCGCGCATTTTGTGACGGACGTCATGAGCAAACGATGTGAGACCCAAGTCATCATCTGGAAATATTGATAATGAATTTTCTTCAGCCGGCATCAAACGCGAGCGAACAGACGACCAATGCTGATATCCGACAGGATATTTGCGAATGCTTGCATCTTCGAAGTCATGATAACGTTCACTGTGTCTTTCTCTTAGTAGAATTGGAGCGAAACAGTTAGCAACCGCATACAATGTAAGCCCATTCTTCTCAGTATGACGAGGTTGTAGAGCTACTGATACCCAGTGACACAGCCGCTCAAGCAATGGCTTGCAAAACCATGGCAAATCGTTTACTAACACCGCCAAAAGAGCCTTGCATTCGTCTTCTGATATTACATTACCGGGACGACCAGCCAAGTCTAAAAATCGGTCCGATCTCTCTTCTGTGAAAAGAGAATCGGGCAATTCCCATAAATACTGGAGCAGAATTGCCACCACTTCATGAGGGTCGACAGCCATTTTACGATGAAAACCGCCAAGTTCCTCAATCGTGTCGCGTAGTTCCATAACATGGTCGGCTTGCAAGTGTGCTTGAAAGAGGCCAGGAGAATCCACATGCTCATAGAGATAACAAAAACACGCTTCGACGACATCCGGAAGGCCAAGTGCAGTCTCAAAGCGAGCCATACTGCTTAAAAACGGATTGCACAATACATCAAGCAAGTCGGTTCCAAACACATTGTACTCAGGATATCCTAGCTCCAGGAACCGAAGTACAGCGATTGCGGCATCCTCCATCTTCTGAGACTGAGCTGCTTTTCTCAGTGTATCCGACAATGGATTGCCACCTTTGCGCGTATTAAACGCTAGACGTAATTCGTGGTGCGAAACGAGCTTTTGAGCCAACAATTCTGTCTCGTCGTCAGCCTGACATAGACGGACACGACCATTTACCATATCCTCCGGGTCAATAAGTTTCGGTGCTTCCTTTTTTATCTTGTGAGTCCTTAAACGAGGTAAAGGACGTGAGAATGGCAGCGTTTCGGGCGCAAGATCTAGCCGCGGGTCGTCAATTAAAAAGGCGAAAGGGAGGTCGTCCAATCCTGCAAGGAGATTCAGAAACACCTTGATTTCGTCACGTTGACGAAAGAGAGCATCCTCAGTATAGTACGATGATAAGAGGTCAAGATTCGTTTCCGAAAGCACCATACTAAGACTTGAGCGTAACACGTGCGTGTTAAGTGCTTGACGAATGAACGCTCGTGTTTTACCTTCATCTGTGTTGACATTAGTAAGGCCAATAGCTGAACGAGTGGCACCAAAAAGACCGCGTACGTGACGTGGGAGCTCCACATCGACACTGGAAGTTACAACCTCGCATACTTGATTCTTTGCGGACACTATTTTCCCACTTGAAGCACTAGCGGACGCGCGATGCATCGCTTCAATCATTTGCTTTTGACGAATCACTTCCATTCGAGTACAAGTCCACTTAACAACACCAAACGATTTCACTGTGGCATCAGGATTTCCATCGTCTGCTTCCAGCAAACGCAGTCCGTGGGAAATGCAGCGATCTATTTGAGTACATAGCAAGTTGACCACCGCCAGCTCGTCATTCAGCAGCAACTCTCGCACATCGTCCATGCTCTTCATCATTGCAGCTTTTGGGCTATCGTTGGTGCCACTAAGTAATGCCGATGTGTCTTGTTTGTCGTTCATAGAGCTACTGCGACAAGTGCCAGCTATATTGTTGCTATTACTCGTCTTTGTGTTTATATAAAGCTGCAATCCATGCACAGCATTCTCGAGATCTTCAAGAATGATGCTGCGTTGACTCTTGGCCTGTAGCTGGCGCTTGGCACGATTCCGGCGCCGCAGCTGATGCTCTTGCTCTGTTTCTTCCTCAGGATCTCCTAGCACTAAGCTCCCTAATCGTGCTAAAAGCCCCATTGTATTCAATGCTTTTCAATGCGAGTTCGCGAATGACGCTATCCGGTCGTCAAAATACTCAAAAGATCGCGTTTTGGATCGCGCGACGTTTGAAACAATTTGAGGAAAGGGGGGGAACGATTGTGCTCACATAAACAATAATTAAAGTTTCCTACCCAAAGTATATGTAGCGTTATCATTCTCTAGTCAAATTGCTGCCGCAGCGCCATCTCTGTTTCAGACTTCCAGCCGCGAAAGTCCGAACCAATGCCAGATTGACCCTTGAGCCGCTGATTTTTAACTCGCTCCTTAGCAGCTTTCTTCTCACGCTTGGGTAACGATTCTCGGATCCCCGCCCCCTCTAATCGCAAACGTCGCTTACGGTCATCTCCAACTTTCTCTGCTGCCACCTTTTGTTTCTCCTCTCGTGTCTCTTGTACATCACCCAAAACTCTTTGCTTTCGTTCTTGCCTCTCTTGATCTTTAACCAAGTCAAACGATTCGATGGTATTCTGGGCCGTGGCACTGAATTTAGGCGGCAAGAACGAGGCCGTCGACGCGGACACGCTTGACAGGACGCTGTCAAATGAGGGTAATACGTGCTCAAGACGCCTTCTCTTCGTTTTTGACTCTTGGCTTGTCTGGATAACTACCGCATCATCTTCATCACTCTCATTTTCGCTGCTGCTCGCGAAGTCAGCGCCGAGCAGAAACGACATTTCTCATGTTTGAGGTGTAGCCAGATCACATAAATGTAATTACTAAGATTGAGGGACCGTTCTTAAATTGTAAGTTTTAAAGATAATTAATACTTCGTGGAAACATGACGGACGCCAAGACCACATCGTGGCTCAAAGCTGAGCTAGTGAGCGAGTTAGGCTTTGCGGAGGTTGATGAGATCGTACAATATATCACAACTTCATTTCACACTCATGAAGAAATATCGAGTTATCTCATCGAGCTGTTAGGCATTCCGGCCAAGCGTGCAGAGCAAATATGCACGCGATTACTTTCAACCCTACCGTCGGTCCCGAAACTTGCCAGTATGAACGCAGCGGCTGCAGCTGTGGCTGGGAAACAGGAAAAAATGATTCTAAGGCCTAAATTAGTAAATTCGCGCTCAAAACCTAGCAAGAACAGCAAGGGTGCTGCGTCGGATCTACTTAATAACTCGTGTATTATTAATTGTATACTATGCGGTCTCATTGAGTACAACGGCGCTCGCCGATGCGCACATTGTGACACAGAGCTATATTATCAGGCCGGTGTATTTCTGGACGACGAGGCCACACGGCAACAGATGGGGGAGCATATACGGCTTGACGAGCCAGATGCCCAGTACCCACCAGTACTTAAAGGAGAACAGCATTTTTATGATGAGGAGGTCGTGGGAAAGGATGCTCAAATCGGCAATGCAGGACATTTTATAACAATACCACTGGACCCGAACAACCGGCAAGTGGAGGTCAAGATATCGCGTAATGAGCAGCTCGCCACTGATGCGCGCGAGTTGGTGGAAAGTATTCAGCGCAAAATGAGCAAGACTAGAAGTGTCAATAGTAATTCTGCCAAGCAGGCTGTGGCTCTTAGCGAGGCACTTGTAGTCGTGGACGATTCATACAACTTAATCTATGTGTAGTGCCAATAAGCTTATTGTCTTGCCATTGTGTAACCAAAAGTTGCACCAAAGGCATCTGAGTATTTACAGTACCTAATTATCTTGGTGAGACTTAAGTAATGCCAGTCGACGGTGCCGAACGAAACGTGCAGCGCGTTGACGTCAGTGCTGAACAAAGTGTCGCATTGAAATTCATTGGTTACCAATACGACCAGTTCGAGCGATGCACAGGTGTAGCGACCGGACGTGCGTTGCCAGCGCCGACTCGATACTCTGGACAGCCACTTGCAAACTTACCGTCATCCTCGCGTGCTTCAGGCCCGAGCGGCCGTAGTCGACGGTTCGTAACGTCTACCCTGCCATGTCGACAGCAGTCAGCGCCGTCAAAGCAGTAAGTGCGTTACAGCGCCGCGTGGCAGAGGCAAAATCCGCCACCCAGTGCCCGGCACCAGCTAATCCGCTCTGGGATTTCTACTCTTGCGGGCTTGTGGATGAGAGCGACGACTGCTCTAACGGTGAAGATACGGAGGATGAGCTGGAGACGCAGGAATGGATTCAGTTCCAGCGCCAACGCGCACAGGCGCGTCTTGCAAGTGCAAGCCAGCGTGAGGGTCGCGATACACGATCTACCGAGCCCTGATTATGAACGAACTGTGCTCCGCAACCTTTTTCAACATGAAGTTATCCCATTTACAGCCAAGTTCCATGACATGTAGGATAGATATAGATAGATACTGCTCTGCAGTATTTGAATGGGATTTCCTGCGGCTAGCATCATTGAAAGCTTTGTTATTCAAGCGTTTTAGTGTTAAGGATAGGCATTGGTAACCATCAGCCACCATAAAAAACGGGGCGCTGTGGGATCTTATGTTTGCGCTCTGCCGTCGGACGACGCTTCAAGCGCCACGCCTGTAGGGTTTTTGATTTGTTCAGCTTCGCGCCCACCCCCTATATCGTAACTTTACGATTTGTTACAACATTTACACCCCCCGCAGATTATCAATGGTTACAAAGTTTGTTCCTTCCGCAAGGAAAAGTTATCTACGTAAGGAAAGGATACACATTAAGCTTCATCTTTGTAATTGATGATCGCAACCTGAAGTTGGGTCATGTCAAACTTCAGCACATTATTTTCAATAATAGGCTACGACATCGCCGTTGCGAAAGCATCTATGCATTTCTTCATTGGATAGACATCATGTGATAGCTTTCGCTTCACTCTTGTACATGACCACATGATTGCGTGAGTACTATTGTATAGGGTTGCATTGCAATAACACGTTTACGTCACAATAATCCTTTCGTACAGCACATTTTATATTCAGGTGATTTTTCTAAAGAACAAGAAAAAGAATTACCAATAGATTGCTGTCGAAGAAAAAAAAGATCGCCACGGCATTTCGACTCTATCTTCCCAATACAAAGAGGTTAATGCCCTACCACCCTCCCAATCAAGGTTAAATTGATGCCTAGGAGCGTAGGAAACGTAGACGAGACGATGCTGACAGCATTTCCCGCTTTGTCTAACGAGAAATGTTCCCAACGCTGCAAGAAAAGAGAAGAGATTTCGGCAACCGTTGAGTCAATCTCCGAGGTAATTCGACGCCTACAAGCAGCCAGATATCAAGTAATTTGCGATTGAGGCAAGGCAACGTCAATTACGTTGCCGACCATAAAAAGAAACTGTTCAATTCTGAAAATCTAACGATGATTCTGGGAGGAAAACACGTGAATTGTTCGATACCACGCTATGTGAGCAAAATTTCTAAAATTATCTTTTATACTTGAAACTTCTCGATTGTTAATTCTGACGCTGAGCTGACTTGCTTAATCGTTGCAATAACGTTAATACATTTTACAATTGTATCCAGTTTTGAGAAACGTAGAGGCATTTATCCCCTCCGATCTCAATTTCATCTTCGTTGAGAGGAGCCCGCGATACTGTTGACTCGACAAGAAAAGTAGAGATTGAAGTTTGAAGTCAGGCATTCTGGTAGAAGATAATTTATCGTTCTCAATAAAAATTCTCCATAACGATAAAAATGTATTCATGCTTCTATCGAATGAATATATGATCCAGGAATGTAGCACAACTATTTAATTACATGAGATAAATTAATCTTTAACCTTCGCCAGTGGAGGTGATACCATATGCAAGCACAGTCGAATAAATTCTACTTCAATGGACTAAAACAAGCGGGCTGATTCTAAGAGCAAGATCCCGGTGCCCGTAGTAATCGAATCCTCAGCATCAAACGGAATCCTAGCTTTCCGGCACACTCGATTGCAAAGCGCTTCCGTTAATTGCGGGTAGCGCAAGAGGACCGGTTTTGAGTTTAACAGAGTCTCATGTTAAGGAGAGTGGCTAAAAAAGTGTAGCCTTACAAGCAGGACTCTTGCCATCGAGAGTGCCCCACGATCTCAGAGGTTATCGTGACGACATTGATGTATGCATAGATTTTGATAATGATATAAGAGCTAAAAGTAATGACTAGCGACCTTGATGGAGCTGCAGGCCACTAGGCATCTTTGCCTGAAACTGCACCATCCTCAGTGACGCAAGGTGCAACGCATCCAACCAGGTATTTGAGCAATTAATAATTCATCAAGAAATAAAAAGCCAAATCCTTTCTTGTCCAAGTCGATGCACCAAGTAATCCGGAGGATGACCACATATTTCGTGTTTTAGCAACGTCGACTCATTTACATGAACCTTAATTTCAAGGCAACTGAGTGTCTGTCTGTGTTCATGCCATGTTTTACCAAAAGAAGCTACTTTTTTGCAAAGTACGATGGTATGGGGATATGTATTGGTAATACAGAGGCTTTTGCTGCTTTATTTAGCGTTAACGCAATGTGTGGGAGCATATCGCTCTTACGCTGCGGACGCTCCGACCAGATTCTTTGGATATTATTCGCTACCACCCTGGGTGCAACTCTATAGATCATCCGCCGCAGACCTATCTAACCTGATTTCAAATGCATTAAGCAATGATCGCCAAACTTTACCGTACGGCACACATCTTGATTCAGAGAATTCGCGACGGACAAGCAGCGGCTTTGAATAGAACTAGTTTTGCTGTATAGCTTTGACAACGCGGACGGCAGCAAGATGGGCCATAATTTTCGGTGTTTCCGCGGCTACAATGTCAGGTGACCGTAAGACAACCGATAAAATAATAAATGTTAGATTTGTTTTTAAAAGTGTGTTGCTCCATCGGGAAATTAAATCGAGACTTTTAACTTTGCCTTATTTTTTCACGATGATTTAAGTCTCTGTTAAGTTGCCGATTAGTTTGAAGATCTCTTCTCTTCTCTTCTCTTCTCTTCTCTTCTCTTCTCTTCTCTTCTCTTCTCTTCTCTTCTCTTCGAACAATACATACATATGTTAGTAGCCAGACGAGACATTCGCCTGCAAGTGTAGAAAGCGACCTCTGTTTTTGTTTGGTCAAAGAACTAGACCGCTTAAATGTCTTACAATGACTGAGAATTCGTAAAGGCGAAATACAATTTCGTATTCCTCGATGCACCTTGGAAAAATGCGGTCTAACAACTCAACGATGGCATCTTCGACTGGTGAACCATTCGTTAATAAACTAATTCAGATTTATAAAAAATCAAGGCAACCAGAAGTGAAGGTTTCTATCCATCCCAACGTTTTTTAAAGTCACATTGTAACGGCTCAAACCAAGCCATCACAAGAAGGCGGTTTAATGTGGTACATAATACATTCGACGTGCATTGTGGGGACAAGTTATAATAGGATCACAGAACTACAGATCCCACATGCACTTGTGACATTGTATGATGCCACAAATGTCCAGTTTAATGGTTAATACTCCAAAATTTACACTGGTGATGGGACTGACGTGTCGTTGTTATCTGAAGTGAGTGACGCAAACCAAACACTTTGTGGGAGATTTTCACGTTCAAGTTTCTCAAGGTTCCGCCGAATTTATCCTCGATGTACCGGACATTTTATATGACATTCCAAGTTTTGCAGGATTCCCCGAGCTCTGCCTCAATGTACTCAAGGTTTTACATACCAGGCTCAAGAATTATCTTTTGCATGCACAGATTTCCACCCATTTTACCTCTAGAGGCCCTTGAAATGTTACCCATGTAGCTTTGGGAAGTATGTTCTCTTTTCAGTTCAGTTGATCATTCGTAGAGTTCACATAAAGTCTTCTGCTCAAGCGCAAACTTGTGTGCTGGGTCCAAGATTTTCAGCAAAGGGGCCTAAGCCTCTTACACCTGGTAGCGCTTTGTTGTATAACTTCCAACGACTCAGTCAAGAGTCTTCATAAGCCGTTTGAGTAGCGTGCACGGACATTTAATCCTCCAATTGTGAAAATCAATGATAGGGATGGAATCGCTGATGAGCCCGATGCCTCGAGTGACCAGGATTGTTAAATGAGCATTTCCTTTATTTGGCGCACCACGAGAGTGCAGCCCATGAGCGTATGCGTGAAGACGTCGGTAAGGCCATTCTGATCAACTTGCTGGGATAAGCGTTGCAGCCTGAGCATGAGCGATGCAGCTACGATAATCATACACACCGACGCATCACGAGGTCATGAGTTCTCAACAGGAGCCCACAGCTCCTGTCACGGTAACGAGAATCTCTCAGCTTAAACTCTGTATGTATTCTTATCTGAGTGGAGAAAACGAGATTCGAAGAAATGGTTAGTAGAGGATAACTGCGACAGCCCGCGGACCCAGTGCAGAAAGTGTTATTCACAACGCCTTACCTTGTGGGTCGATAAAAAAATTGGGAATTTGGAAGACATCTGGCTTAACCAAGCTGCGTTTACAATCTAGACGACTTCGAGCAATATCTCAAAACAGCTTTCAAATCTCGGAAGAACAAAATTAGAGCTCGCGCTGACTTTTGAAAGCTCTGTCAGGGTAGGTACGACCAATACTCGTTCGCATAACGAGCGCGATGTCCTAATTCGAATATAAAAATAAATCAGTTGATATCCCAAAGCAAGTTGTGGTATTCATGGAAGGCGTGATGAAGGTTCAACTCGAAACTATTTTTTTTACAAATTTTCGAAGGCGTTGGACGAAGTTAACGAGCGTGCGATGCAAATAAAATTTAGAAGGAAATACGCTAAGTTTAGAGTCTTTATAGCTCGTTCGACAAGCCAGCAAGCTTTGGCATTCGGTGGTCCGGAATCGTTAGACATATGGTCTGTCGATGCGATTGTCAACAAACCCTCACGCAATGACGGGAATTAGTTTTGTTAAAAAGCTAGTTCGGTTACATTGCGAGAAATCGTGAAGTGTTTTCGCCAGCAAGCAACACATGATTTACTATCAAATCAATTAAATAGTGGCCGACGATTCGACTGTACCCAACATGTCTAGCAAGAATAAGTCTTTATAGTACATGAGGTCAAATAGGCGAAACTTCAGAGCCTCTATGGGCTCTTGTGGACACTTGTGCGTCAAACAATTTTGTCAGCACACAAGTGGAGAGAAGGCAAGGCAAGGCAAGGCAAGGCATGGGCCTGCCTCACTCGAATGAAAAATGATCGTTCCCTTGGCTAATGGATCAATGCAGAGGATGTCTAAGTACGTGTTGCGGTACAAAAAAACAATTGTGATGATCTACGAAGCGTGAAGACGAGTTTATTGCGCTCGACTAGGACGACAAATTTTGATTAATTTCAGCAAATTTTATTTTTAAAAAGTTAATTACCATCGGCAAGCAAGTCGATGAAGACCTTGTTTTCGTGGCAGCAAGAGAAAATATTTAAGAATTCATCTGCTGCTGATGAGTTAAATGAGAGCATGGCATTCAATGACCCCTCACACTCAAATGACAAGCTCATGAAGACCACTGGGCGTGAAAAAAACAGGCACCAGAAAAAGACTATTTTGAAGTTTAAATTGATATGAAGTCCGCTTTGGCAGAATTAGTGAGATTAAGTAAACTGTCAAAGAAAAATGAAGATCTACAGGCGATCAAGGCACAAGAAAAGCAGAAGATGAAGCAAAGAATCCGCTTCAAGCGAATCTGAAAATATCGTAGTGTACAAGGAAGCAAGATAGTGCATCACGTACAGGTTGAAAATGCTCAAGGATATAAGTTCTGGCCGTGGATGAGAAAGAAGACGCTTACGATCAGCCTGCAAAGAGGCAAAAGTCCGCAAATATGTGCGATCGTCGAGAAGCTATCAACGGTGTCATCAGTATTGCGGAAATGTTAGATATGACGATACAGAAGGAAAGGTTTTAGTAGTAGTCATCGAAATTTAGTCTCCGTGAATGGAATGCTACTTGGAATACGCTGAGATAAAGTGCCGGACGAATAGTCACATGACAGAGGCATTCGTCACGAGATAGATATAGCGAGATACTGTATTATAAGGTGATGGCCCTACCGAAGGAACAAGGCGATGCAATTGACGAGGTTTTCGTGTAGCGACAGGAGGCTGGTCATGTGCGTGAGAGCGTTTCTCGGCGTTATAGTCCCACATTATGTGCATTGAAAGGTACAGGTGATTAGTGAATTTTTCACAAATTCCGCAAAATGACCGACGCGACCAAGCCTGCTTAGATAACTGTTCCACGAAAGGATAATGAAAGGGTTTGATGCACCTTCCTTATCACTATCGATCTTAAAGATGGTTTCTATCAATCCAGATTCGCGAGAGCGATATTCCTCTCATTTGCTCCAATATTTTAGTGATATGCTGTAGGAATGGATGGTAATGCTTCAAAGTGTGAAGAATGTACCAGCGACTTTTCACAGAACAGTCACAAATGTACTTTGGTCACTTACAGAGTTTGCACCAAGCAACTTTGACGATATATCTGTTCAGAGTTTGGCTTAGGGAAAGAAGAGATATGGTAATGTTTACCGTGATTAACTTCGTTTAGTCTTCTATGTTAAGCGATATAATTAATTATACACCAATCTGAAGAAATGCATCTTCCTTGCCGTTGAGATTTGCTAACTCAGTTTCTTTGTTTGCAATATGATGCCTATGCTAGTCCTGAGGAGATCAAAGAATTTGACGGTAGCCTTTTACCAAGCTATTTGCACAAATATACACGAAAGCATGCTGCGTTGGTGTAACCACTAACATCTCTCTTGAAAAGACCAATGATTAGAAGCGGTCTAAGGAGCACCAGGCAGCGATGTCAAAGTGGAGATGTGCTTAATAGACACTCGTAGCCTGAATCTCGCAGAAAATGAGCGGCCATATCATGTAGTCGGGTATGCTGGCGGCTATGTCATCGGGTGTGCAAAGTTGGCGTTGGCAAAGTTTAGATTCTATTCACTATTTACATTGCTCACGCTTCGCCGCGGACAGATGTAAAATCGCCTCGCTTATATCAAAAGATGTCAAAATGATTTTTCTTTTTTGCGCTGTACACTTTTTGTGCACTATAAGCCCGTTAAATCAGACATTCTTCCCCAAGCATTTTTACAACTTCCGATTTCGATCCAAAGAACTAGAATAATGACACAAATAAAGCGTTCAAACTCCGTGAAGCCGTTATTGCGATAGCTACAGGAGTGACAAGCACTGCTCAAGAAAAAATAATATGGCTACAAGCACAATGAGGTATGCCAAATTTTGAACGAGTGTTTCATGAGCGTTCGGATAGAAATCTCCAGAGCTTCCAACCACGAGCTAGGTCGCGAGTCTATCGTTACAGCATGCATAATAGGCTTCTGCTCTACGCACTCGAAGAAGAGGATCCTATCGATAAAGGTCTGCGTCATAGACACTTGTATGAGTATCATGTTGGTTCTCCAAGTGTCCATCATAGACGGGATAGAACGGCTCTAAATTCAAGTTTATTACTGGCCACATAAGGTCAATGAAATCCGCAAGTATAAACGTTTTTGTGGAAAATGCTAGAAAGTGAAGCCATCGAGGTCTTCTCAAACCCCACATCGTCTATTGTCCGCTCCCCAGCTGACCTGGGGAGCACGGAATTTTAAATAAAACTTCCGAGAGTTGAACATGACAGGAACGGTGTCCTGTTGTTTACGGACCGATTAAGTAAGATGGCACATCATACTTCGGTCTTGGACACGCTCTAGGCAAAAATGATTGCCAAAGTATTTGTAGACGTGGTGTCATGTCAACAAGATGTGCCTTCGTATCATACCGTGACACTCGGTTTACGTCCAGTTTCTGCATACTCAGTTTGACATCTTGGACACGAAACCATTTATGTCAACAACAGCATACCCAGAGATGGACAGCCGAATGGAACGAGCTAACCGTGTCTTGGGAGACGAGATACACAGCTAGTGGGCGTGCTTTGGGGGGTGGGAGGGGGTTTCTTGTTGAACAATTCACCGCATGTCCTGAAAGGTTACTCCCAATTTTATGTAAGCTATGAAATTTATCATAGAGTGCCTGCGCAGTTTGCTGGGATGCTTTTACCTTAAACGCGAGGGAGCTATGGCTAAGGAGACACAATCAGGCCTAAATGCTATCAGGTGTTTAAAACGAGTTTTAACTCGATAGAACCTCTAATTTGCATGACAAGTCGTGAGGTACAGTCGATATCTTCATGGTGATGGGACAAGACTTGATAAGATTTGTTTGAGACGCAACTGCAAAGGCTCAGGATCGACGAAAAGAACAAGCAAATAAGCGAAGGGCAAGCAGGTGTGAAGGATCGGTGACCGTCCTAAAGCTCAATGCAAGCTCAGGGCTTTATAGCGGTTTCACTCCTGCCGCATTCTAAAAGGCAAAATAAAAACTCGCATGTAACATGAGCCGACCGCGGCTATGTCAACTGCTTAGGCCGTGTTGAGCCAACTTTTTCTAGTCGCCCACACTTTCTCTTGTGAGCTCGACAGAGCAAGTTACGCCAGTTACACCCTGTGTTATAGTGCAGTTTTCGGAGCTGTCTTCCGCTAAAAATCACCCCAGAAAAAGGTCTGTCTGTCTAAGAGCGACTAGATGACTGGCGTCCTAAGTATCTTCTCCTGTCGCCTAGTCTCTCCTGCTCGAGACACCCAAAAACATTGCCAGCTTACCTGTCCTCTCCGTTATCATAAAAGTTAGCTCACAGTTCAACCTGTACTTACGAGTGACACCTGCGCCAGCTCGTACTCGCGAGTTTATGGTGGTGTAATCTGGTCGACTGATTCAAAATGAGTGATTTCAAAATGAGAGCGCGTCAAATTCTCACACTACAAGAGAAAAATTGCATCTGCGGTAGATTCCTTAACGTTGGGATACACAACAATGCCGTAGCAACACACCTAAAAGAGTCGTCATGGTATCTGTATCCTTTCTGCGGCAGTGCGTCGAGTTGAAGGCTGAGTAAAGAGAAATGTCGGAGTAATTCGGTATGAGATACTACAAGCCCCATGATAGAGCATAAAATGTGGGCGCCAATGCTCAAGGGGGGAATCAAAACTTGCATGGTGGCTGTCTCGGACTTGCGGACATGCCGAAGCGTTACCATAGATAAAGCAATCCACCGCGAGCCAGAATTAGTCTTAGGTGCCTTCTCAGAGAGGCTAACATTGCTCAGCTGACACAAGATCTATACCATGACATGCAGCCATGCACTCTCTGCTTTGGAGCGAAGCAACACAAAATGCGATATAGACTGCTAGACGGGCGATTTGAATCATGCAGTGGAGTAGGCAAACAAGCTGTAGCTGGCGAGGAAAGCATTTTACTGACATACGAGCATATATGATCACGACTACGGTGCGCACTTTGCGGAGGCAGACTCGTCAAAAATGATAAAGCTAGAACGCGGTATTGCAGAGAGTAGACCGGCGATCACATCCGGTCGTCGCAAATCCGACACGCGATGACTCGCAAGTTTTGACTCTACCGGAAGACCTTTCAAGTTTAAGCAAGGTCCGGAGCTTAAAACCCACCACACTTACACTTACCTTGGCAATCCTAAATGTGAATCTGACTACGGAAGCGGGTATATGCGAGGAAATGTTCGAGAGGAGAGTATAAATTGACATTTGTTTTCGTTAGAGATCGATGCGTAAGAACAACCTGCGGTTGGTGACAGTTCTGAAGAACGGCGAATTTATCGTGTGTATGTCGATTGAGGATCTGATACTGCAGATGACCATGCTTCAATATTACTTGCAGATGTTATTTCCAACATGAAGTATCGGAGCTATCCGAGGTATTGTGTTCATTTGTTTGTGGTATTTCAAGAAACCTGGCCAAGAGCTGCAACGCCCACAGTGAAGGTACTACCACATTTTGCTTGAGGATCTGTTAGTACGCTACGTCAATCAGCGTTTAACAAACAAGAAAGGTAATCATGTCCGGTGGAAAAGGCTCTGGTCTGGTAGTCGGTATTTTTTCCGGTGGTGACGTGCAACACAAGTGCAGTCCAATGACCACATTTTTTGAGTATTTTAAAGTCTCGTGAGCAGTAGTCGATAGTAATACCCGCAGATAACGTCGTTTGAGGCAGCTGTGAGACGCTTTGGCCGGCCATAGCCTCCACGAAGGTTCTAGGCCTGCTGAAAGGAGACTCTGCGGTGGCTGGTTGTGCAAGCGTAAAAGGTTAAAAGAAGATCTGTACAAGTAGCTAAGAAACCATCGATGCTGTAACTACTTCTTAAGATACTGCTAGGAGACATGCAGCAGGGCTGCCGGAGCTCTTTCGCTAAGAGAAAGCTGAGTCAAGATCGGCGACCTTCGTACTATACTTACAACCAGTTTGAGTGTTGCGTATCACAATCCGCTTACTCTAAAAGTAACTACAGCCTTAATTCAAGGCTAATTAGCTCCGTTTAAAATGATAACTTTAATTTGAGTTTTATTTGCGGCAAAGCCGCCTATATCTAAATCTATAGGTTTTCCTATTTAACAGAAAAACCTAATTAAATGTATAAGTACTGCCTGTTACAGCCTCAAATTGAATTGTCGTTTAAGTGTAGACACGCCAATAACCGGGTCACACCATATTATGTAACACACACCTTTGTGTGATCACACCGTCTTGTTGACCCCATTAGATTCTTCCCATCAAGACTGTAAACACCTTCAGTTCACATTCACCTATCGCCGCGAGCGAGGCTCGCGTGACTTAGACACCACAACATCACCAGGACCTTCTTCCATTTGTCTGCTTAATGAGCCTTGTGTCGAGGACACGGAGGACACCCAGCCGCGCTGGCTCCGAGAACGTTCGCGGGCAGAGCCCATCTATGTCTCCTGCACGCGCTGCAACTCCTGACTTCACGGAAAACGCAGCCCGAGCTCTCGGTAAACTAGAACCGCGCACTGCGCCCGCCACGGGCGATGGATTCCCTCGTCATGGGTTTGGCAGGAGTCGACTACAAGTCGGATACTCCTTTCCCAAGATGGAAAGAATAAAAGGGCGAGGTGGCCCAGCGGCGCGACGTGAGCCCTGTTCGAACCTTGCGAACGTTATGCAGTATCCCGAACCTCTCGACTTCCGAGGAAAGTGTTATTATTACCAATTGTTTCAACGAGGCACAGAAGTAGCACTTGGAGGCTGCCCACAGGACGGCATATAGGGCGGCTTTTATGCGCTCGTATCCACGTTCAGTCCTTGACCCTTGTGTGGAATATAGCTTCCGCTCGACAGATCCCGCTACAGAAGCGATAGCCGCGATCACTCGATGGTTAGGCGTCTACGTAGCTGGGCACCTGGTCACTACACAAGCCGAGCCTGACCAACGAAAAGCTCTCCGAGCTCAAAGCGGAGGCGCTCCTGTACCCGCAATGCGGACCTATCCTGTGGTGCTCACCACTGGCAAAACCACTACAGATGACGAAGAGCGCTTTGAGCGACGGGTGTAGCGACACCGGAAAATTAATTCGCTGTCTAACTTATAGCGGAGCCACAAGGAAAAGGACGTGCGCGTAGACCACCATCTTCGATTTCAGTTTGCCAAACTCAAGGCGCAACGCCAACTTCCTGAGTATTGTCGCCCTGCGACATACGGAATAATTCATCACGCTCCCGCAAGCTCTGTGGTTTCTGACACAGGTGAGTCTACGACCGCAGCAGCTTAGGAAGGCCCCGCTAAGCTACGACCTTAAAAAGTCCGATAAACCGTGGACGTAGCTGTGTCTTCAAAGTAGCAGAAATTGCATGTGT